AAAAAAAAAAAAAAAAAAAAAAAAAATTTAAATAAAACTGACATTAATTTGTTTTGAAAAAACAAAAACAAGTCACCTACTGAGACCTCCAAGTGCACATGGAGCTTGTCTTTGCTAGAACAGAAATCTCACTTCTATACTCTGGGTCTAACGTTTTGTTGCTGTTCTTTCAATTTTTTTTCCTTAGGGGAGAGAACAGAATTTTATCTGTATATTTGCAAATTTTATCCTAAGTGTAGCTGGAATATGAGACATGAACTACGTGGAGAAATCTGGCCAAATGTGGAACAAGAAGGGTAGGGGCCCAGAGGCATAAAGGACTGGTTTGCTTCGGGGCTTTATTGACAGGACAGTAAAAACAAAGGCCAAGTGGGAACCTGAGCCAACTGAAAGTTAAATAACAAGAGACAAACTTGCACAGTAAAATGAGAAGACCTTTGAGAATGGAAAAGTATGTCTAAAGAGGTAGCCTTAGAAAGAGGACAGCACCCTAGTAGAAAAGGAGATTAAACAGTTTATCTTTCAAGAAAGGAGGAACCAGTTCTAAAAAACAAAGCTGCCTGGCACTAAGATAATATAATCCAATGTAATAGGTAACAGGACAACTATATATGACATAACATAGAAATCAGCAAAATTCTCTATGTGATACCAAGGACAGACATAGTGTTATTAACTGGTTATTAATTGACACTAGATAAAGCAATTTGGGGACACCCATTTTTCACACACCCTATGGAGCTTAGTACAAGCCACTGAAATGTAACAATAACTATAATAAAAACCCAGAAAAAGAGATTAAGGCATTTGTGCTTGGCGTGATTATACTTATTTCTCGCTGAAACAATACATTTTAACAATTACCCATTTTAAAACAACATAAGAGAAAACACTTCTTTATTGAATTCCCATTGCTGTTGTAACACATTACCATAAACTTGTGGTATTAAACAACGCAAACTTATTTTCTTACAGTTCCGGGGTCAGAAGTCTGATATGGGTCTCACTGGTCTAAAACCAAGGTATCAGCAAGACTGCATTCTTTCTGGAGGCTCTAGGGAAAAACCTGCTTCTGTGCCTTTTCCAGCTTTTAGAGGCTGCGCACATTCCTTGGCTCGTGGCCCCCTTCCAACTTCAATACCAGCAGTCTTTCTTATGATGCATCACTCGGCTGCTGACTCTCCTTCTGCCTCCCTTTTCCACTTTTAAGGATTTTGTGATTACATTCGCCCTATGCAGATAATCCAAGATAATCTCCCTATTTTAAGGTCAGCTTATTAGCTAGCAACCTTAATTCTCTCTGCAACTGTAATTCCCCTTTGCCATGTAACGTAAAATATGGACAGGTTCTGGATATATCTTTTGGGAGCCATTATTCTGCCTACCACAACTTTAAACAAAGTTAAACTATATTGTGTAAGATGGACATTAAATCTATCAACAATGCTGAAATCTTAGATTTGTTCGGCACCTTTATAGACATTACACATTCTTCTATATGCCTGAAAGGTAAACTCTGTACATCGAGTACAGAGTTTACCTTGTAAACTAAATAAATTGGTATGCCTTTTTGTAATATTCTTGGCTTGGGAGGCCTAGGGAGCTTTACTGTACTTTGCAGATTCTGACAGCTTAAAAAGAAATATATATAACAACTACTGAAATATGTAGTATTTCATATAAATAAATAAATTGGTATGCCTTTTTGTAATATTCTTGGCTTGGGAGGCCTAGGGAGTTTTACTGTACTTTTCAGATTCTGACAGCTTAAAAAGAAATATATATAACAACTACTGAAATATGTATACTGTCTCTTTTGGGGGAGAGTAACAATATCCTAAAATCACTATTTTCTGTTAAAAGAATACATGTTTACACTGCAGACCCTAGAAGAAGTTGAGTGTTTAATGTTTTCTAAAACATTTGGTCAGAAATTTAATTTTTTAAAAATTTTAGTTCAAGAGAATGCAACAGAAGCCCTACTTTTTTCATTTAATTTTATTATTTTCTTACAGACATGTTCCAAACAAGCTATGATTTTCTTGGCAAAACAGCTCTATCAGGGCTTCCCTGGTGGCGCAGTGGTTGAGAGTTTGCCTGCCGATGCAGGGGACACGGGTTCGTGACCCGGTCCGGGAAGACCCCACATGCCGCTGAGCGGCTGGGCCCGTGAGCCATGGCCGCTGAGCCTGCGCGTCCGGAGCCTGTGCTCCGCAACGGGAGAGGCCACAGCAGTGAGAGGCCCGCGTACTGCAAAAATAAATAAATAAAAAAAAAATAAATAAATAAACAGCTCTATCAAGAGTCTCGCCAACCTCTCCCTTGAGGGACACAGAGACTAGGACAAAGGAAAGAAAAACGAGGCTAGACACCTGTCCCCAGTGGAAAAAGGAAGAACACACCTGAAGAGCAGCTCAGACAAAGGGAGCCAAGGGGGAAAAACAGTAATTGGAGAGAGACTGCTTCAAGCTGTTGCTGGTTTATAAGGTAAATCTATTCCTGGACGAAAGGTATACAGTAGCAGCACACTAAAAACTGGGACAGATTGTATCTCCTTCAAGTCTCCGCTCTTATGACACTCCTTCCAGGAAGTTTTCCCAGCATGGCCTGAGCCCCGTTTGGATGAATAATCCGCCTGAGATTGCCAGGCGTCCCATGTGCATCTCATTAATGCATGCATGCATTCATTCACTAATTCATTTATTCACTTAACTCATATTGAGCACCTAACACGCTCCAAGCCCTAAAAATAAAAAAAATAAACAAGGCATAATAGCATTTATCACATGGCATTTATTTGTCCTGGTGTTGGCTTTCTGTCTCTCCCACAGCAGCTTCTGGGAAGGCGCCCTATTTCATTTTTGCATCCTCAGTGTCTAGACAGTGCTTGGCAAGGCTAGGTGCTTAATGAACTTAAGAATGACCTCAAAGCGTACTTCTGATAGGGGGCTATGTTCTCCAAATCTGTATTTGAGGGGACAGGGGATGACCGGTACACAAGATGAGAACGGTAAAAGCATCTTTATTTGGAGTGCATACAGAACCCCCCAAGAAGGGGGGTTCTCGCGAGCCCGCCCGCGCGCCTCACCAGGTCAATGGCCGCGATGTTCCGGAGCGCCACGACTCGCCGGATGGACTGGAGCGGGTTCTCGGTCAGGTAGATGAGCCGGCCACTGAGCAGCACGTACTTTAAGGTGTGTTTCCCCGTGTCGGATACCACGATGCACGGCTCGTAGGCGCGGATGGCGTCGTAGACCTCGGGCCGGCAGATGCCTTCGCAGGAACGCGTCCAGGCGGCTCTTCTTACGCGCGGGGAAAGCGGCCCGCGCGGGGCTGGCGGCCCGCGCGGGGCTGGCCATGCGGGGCGCCCGCTGCAGGGCCGAGGGATGAGAGTGGTGGACGCCTCCGCGCAGCCCCGCCTCCGCGCCGCCCGCGGTAGAACCCACGCGCGCCACAAAGCCGCTGCCACCCTCGGGCGCTGGGGGCCGGGCCCCGCGATTCGGAGACCAAATCCTGGGTCCGGCTCCTTGGAGCATCACCCCCCCCCCCCCCCGGGCCGGCCGCGACGCCGGTCCCCCAGGTTCCTTGCTGGCAAGCATCCTGGGCCCTCCTCTCACCCCGGCCCCCTACCCTCGCCTACTCCAGCTGTTGCAGACCAAGCCATTTCTTAAAAACTGTGTGGAAGCCTCGGTTTTAGTCAGGTTTTCTATTAGAAACTTGAATGACATGTAATTTACCGATTTATTTTTCAATAGAACAATCCTAGAGCCCTATTAAGATCAATCACACAGGTTTAGCATTCGATTATAACACTGCCTGGCATAGCTCTCTAATTTTTATGAGTAGAAACGTAGCTTTTCTTTCTCCAACTACATAAAATCAGACAGAAGAAAATCTTATAAATTGTTTTGAGCACACCCAAGCCTACGTAATGGATATGTTTCTGTTCCCAGTGCCCAGGACAACGCCCTGTAGCCAGTCGAAGCTCAATCTGTGTAGGATGAATGAATGGGTGAAGCCTGCATCTTGAAAAAATTGAAGCTTAGAGGTTGAGAAATGCTGATCATGCAGCCTTGAGACTGCAGGGTAGTAAAAGTACTGCTTAGTTTTTACAGACCATGAAAAACTTATTATAAATTAGGTTAGAGAGATGAGAAGGACACAGCAACAGAAACTTGCCTCCAATAACTCTAGGTGAGAACTTTCATTTTAATTTCAAATCCTAGAAAAGTCATTCTCTCTTCCTGCTCACTCACCCAGAGACCTGGTAATGCAAACCATATATTTATATTTTGTTTGATTTGCTCCAGCTACCTGCAACCCAGAATCGAATTACATATTCTTTATTGCATTTTATATTCTCCTTTTCCTCATATTTTACTATGGCATACTGTATGTTGTAAGCAATTTCAAATCCTTTGTGGAGAGTATAAATAAAAATGCATAAACATTGTAAACAAATCGCTGCAAAAGGGAACTGAGGAGAAATGTTTGGATGTGACTAAAGAAGTCTGAGGAACTCAATAGCAGCAAAGAAGTAGAAACAATATTTCTTTTTTTGGCAAGAATGTATTTGGTGAATAAGGAGAGAAGAGCCACCTGCTGACAAAATTTTAAATGACCTAGCATTTAAAGTTTTCTTAGAATCTGATCATACATCTGACTCTTCATAACTTCATACCTAGAGCCCCAGAGGCATGGCTATTTCCTCGGAAATAAAGACTATTCGCTATGTAACCCATTCTAGAATTTGTTGCCTCAAACCAACAGAAGGCAAAGGCCCTTCAGCTTTGCCAAATAGCCACACCTCACAAGAGTGGTTGAGAAGTAAATGGCTACTGCAGAGGTGGAATGTGAGGAAAGTGGGGAAAGGCATCAGTCCAGACTGCTATTTCGTGTCTCTTGGGCTCCCTGTTCCATACCCACTTCCTGGGACTAAGAAACAGAATTACTGGATCAGGACCGGAAAAGACAGCATATCTGCTCTGTCAGGAATCCCATCATAAATGAGCTTTTGGTGATAAGGGTACTAGGCTTAACAAATGTTGCACATGAAGAAGGGAATTTAACAAAGGGTCTGGTGGTTAAGGTGAGCTCAGTTAAATTTTTAACTTTGTGGCACGCAGAGAAGGCAGTATCTTGGTTTCCAGGCACTTGTTGTTCTATACTGTTGCCAGTGTAACAGCAAAGTTCGGATCACAGGAAAGGGGTTTAATATAGGAGAAAGATCCCTGGATTTGGAGTCAGGAGAACTGGATTAGAGCACTAATCCTGTTGCTCAGTATCTGAGATTTTTGGAAAGTCCCTTCACCTTTTTGAGCCTCATTTGACCATTCGTAAAATGAAACTAGTACTAATTTATGCCCTGCTAACCAAAGAGCTGATGTGAGGAGCAAAGGCAATGACTTATGAGTTCTGAAAGCACTACAGACATGCAAAGTATCCATATTCCCTTATCTTTTGGTAAGCTTTATGAGGATAGTTAACATAAATACACCCTACATAAGCATTTACTCCTTATCTTCTAAATCCATCCAAACTCAGGAAGCATTTGGTACAGATCCTGTGCAATCAAGCACTTAAGAGATGTTTCTTGATAAAACTATCAAAAGGAATGGAACATTACTTACCTGGAACTAATACCCAAAGGCACTCTCCTTAACCAGAAGAACGGAATAGCCTTAGGTCTAAGGATGAAAGGACAGTAGTGTTGAGCATAGGTCTGCAGAGCCAGATGACCTGGTTCAAATTCCAGGTCTCACTCAGTAGTTTAAAAAATTACCTTGTACAACTTTATTTATTTATTTATTTATTTGGCCACACTGCATGGCATGCAGGATCCTAGTTCCCCAACGAGGGATCAAACCTGGGCCCTTGGCAGGGAGAGTACGGAGTCTTAACCTCTGGACTGCCAGGGAGTTCCTGGACAACTTACCTTAATTGCTCAGTGCCCCAGTTTCCTGATCTGTGAAATGGGGTAATAGTACCAACCCCATAGAGTTATTATGAGGATTAGCAATGTTTCTAAGTACTTAGAACAGGTACGTAGAACAGAACGACAATGTGTAAGTGTTTTAAAAATAAATTGAACAAGTATGTGATTTCCTGGTACATATATGGTCATTTATTTCCCCATATACAAAGTAGTAATATTAAACTCTTCCTTGTTGGGTGCTAGCCTAACTTTTTAAACTTTAGATTAAGGCTCAAGACAAAATCTAATCTACATGCACAAATGTACAAACAAAAGAATGGCATTTTTATCTTTTTTTTTTTTAGTTGCATTTTTGGTGGAGAAATGAGCAGTGGGCCATAGGTCATAAGAATCCTGTAAGGATTTTAAACTAGAAGTACCCTTCAGTGGGTCTAGGGATCCCAAGTGTTCCCATCTCCCAGCGTGAAACTAAAGACAGTATGTATAGAGAGATACTTGAAGCCTGTAGTAGGTAAATAGAACCTGCACTTTTAAAGGTGTCTGAATTAGGAATCCCTTGGTATTTCTACTTAGTATTAATGGATACTGACCATTTAAATATCTACAACATTAGCAGTCAACTGACATATAGAGAAGAGGAGGTATCATTATGATAAAGTTGAAGGGAACATGCAAATGCTTTGGATTAAAACAAACAACTTTTTTTTTTACTAAATAATGCCCCAGTGCTCTGTTCTGCCTCAGGCTTCCTGCTCCACACCCACTTACTCTAAAAGAAACCAATGATTGGACTAGAACCCAATAAAGACAGCTCACCTGACCTATTTTCCTGACTTCTTTCTCGGCCAGGAAACCCATCATGAATGAGCTTTTGGTGACAATGACACTAGGCTTAATAAGCTTTGAGACAAATAAGAGAATCTGACACAGAACTCAGTGGTTATCAGCTCATATTATATTATTTGGGTTCAATTCAATACATTTCACAGATATTTACAGAGAAATTATTACCCATAAATAGAATCAGGATAAAACTTATTTTCAGTCTTCAAGAACTGACTAATAGGTGAGTAAGACAACCACACAAATTTAATACAAAACAAAAACATATTAAAATATATTCATGACGTGAGAGGTATGAAAAAAAGCACAATATCAAAGAAATGATCAAACAAGCCTGGTTATGGAAATGTGGAGACACTTCTTGAGGGAGGCAGCATTCAATAAATTCTCAAAGAGTGAATGAAACTGTTTCTTTTTTTCCTTTTATTATAGGCAGTTTTTTAATTTTTTTTTTAATGAATGGACTACATGTTCACTGTGAATTTTTTAAATCCAAAAAGGTACAAGGAAGATAACAAAAATCACCTGCAGTCTCACAACCTAAAGATAACTTTCAAGTAATGGATAAGTTTCCTTCAGTAAGTCCATGAGAGAAGCTTTGAAAGCCTAATGTAAGGTAGAGGAAATAAGGAAAGGAACAGAAAAGATAGATGTGACAGCACTATGCTGAAATTGAACTGGACCACTGAACATGAAAGCAACAAACTGACCCTAAGAGCGCTGACTTATGTTGAGGAGTTGAATGCATTGGCAGAAATAGCCACATCAGGAGGGAGATGTATTTTGTGGGTAAGATCACGACTTTGGTTCTGGACATGTTAAGAGTTGACATGCTGGTGAGATGTGTAACACAAGTTAGGAGTACAGAATCTTAGAACCAGAAGTAGAGAATGGGAGATCATCTTCATAGAAATGAGTGTTGAAGCCATGGAAATAATTACTGAGAGCAAGTGCAGAAAACAGAAAGCCAGATGGCTAAGAAGGCAGCCTTGGGGAAGACATGGTAAAGAGAACAACAGTAGGAGTGCAGTGAAGACAGAGTAGTCATCAAAAAAAATAAAAGAATTTTGAGGATAACACAGGGTCAGAGTCAAGAGAGGAATTTCAAGGAGGAAGGAAATAGTCAACAGAAAAGTTGAAATAAATTAATAAAAATGGTCACAGGGTTGGATCATTTGTAAGAGTTTTAGTAGAGTGATTTGGGAACAGAAAACAGATTACAATAAGTGAGAGACTGGAAGATTAAGTGTAGACAACATATATGGTGTCCTGAAGACAGGAAATCTAGAATCAAGAATCTAGGGTTCTAGTCCACCATTTACTAGCTATGTGGCTTAGGATAAGTTACTTAAAATAGATCCACCTGTTTTCTTTTTTAATTAATTATTTATTAATTTATTTATTTTGGCTGCATTGGGTCTTTGTTGCTGCGCGTGGGCTTTCTCTAGTTGCGGTGAGTGGGGGCTACTCTGTTGTGGTGCGCGTGCTTTTCATTCGGGTGGCTTTTCTTGTTGCACAGCATGGGCTCTAGGTGCACGGGCTTCAGTAGTTGTGGCACGCGGGCTCAGTAGTTGTGGCTCATTGGCTCTAGAGCACAGGCTCAGTAGTTGTGGCGCACGGGCTTAGTTGCTCTGCGGCATGTGAGATTTTCCGAGACCAGGGCTCGAACCCATGTCCCCTGCATTGGCAGGCGGATTCTTAACCACTGCGCCACCAAGGAAGCCCCTGTTTCCTTTTCTGTAAATTAAAAATGATGATCATGATCATGATATCTGCTCCATCCCTACAAGGTTAAGAGGAACAAATTAGAAAAGTTATATGGAGACGTATTGTAAACCATAATGAAATATATAAATGTTATCTACCCTAATTCTTTCAAGTACTCTGGCAATTGAAAAAAAAGGGAAATATGGGACAGGAACAATGTTTTATTTTTATAAGAGAGGTGCCTCACCATATTTATAGGAAGAAAAATTGACTTAGCACAATAGTTCTACAGCGTCATCACCGTTTAGTGGACCTTCACTTGAGAGACAGGGGTTAGAAGCACAGACTCTAGGGTCCGACTATGTGCGTTTGAATCCCAGTTCTGCTACTTAACTTTTATGCACTGCTGTTTCCTCATCTATAAAATGGACGTAATAATAGTACCTTGTTGTGAGGATTAACATCTGAACATTCAGGAGTGTTTCTGGCACATAATAAATGCTCCAAAATGTTGCCAATTCGTACATACAAGCATTGCCATGTGCAAGCACACATGCTTTAAGTTAAAATAATCACAGCTGTTTGTCAACATTTTGATAACTGGCATTTTATGTTAGTCTGAGATGGGAAACTGTCCATCCCCTTATGGATGGGGGAACCAGAATACGGAATGGTCAAATTTAATATCCCTCTCAGATCCTCTTCAGGTAGATTCCAAGTAGTTTCCTTATTTGTTACAAAATAACATGAATTTACAAAATTCAGAGGTTTTTACAATCCTAGGTATTTGAACTACCATAAAGGGCCAGTGTTATTAGATAAACTGTAGATAAGCTATAGATACTAGATAAGCTGTAGATAAACTTCCCCATATGAAGTATCCACAAAATGAATTTACAAATGAAAAAGGCAAATATAGATGGTAACAATACAATAGACTGTATTTTGAGGTTCTTTAGGATGATACAGTGGAATACACTGAACATATGACAGACTTTGGAGCCACTTAGACCACGATTAGCATTAGGCCTCCATATTGTTCACTTATTGAGTTGTAACTACAGGCTGGCATGGTACTAGACGCTGGGGATACACTGTAATAACACAGGAATCATAGCCTGACATTTTTTTTGTACGTGGGCCTATCACTGTCGTAGCCTCTCCCGTTGCGGAGCACAGGCTCCGGACGCACAGGCTCAGCGGCCATGGCTCACGGGCCCAGCCGCTCCGCGGCATGTGGGATCTTCCCGGACCGGGGCACGAACCCGTGTTCCCTGCATCAGCAGAAGGACTCTCAACCACTGCGCCACCAGGGAAGCCCACAGCCTGACATTTTAAACGAGTAAATTACAAGCGTGATGCAAAAGTGATTCAAGATACTTTATATATGAAATGCCTGGTGCAGTGTCTCGCACATGGCCGGTCACTAAATAAATGTAGCTGTTAAATGGTTACATTAATTTTATTCTACTTTCCTTCCACTCCCCTCTCCCAAGTTTTGTTTTTCACTGTAGTTCCAGTGAGGGCAACCTAGTCTGTATTCAGTACATACTTAACAATCAACAATGAAACCTAAATAACGAGCACTTATTGTATGCCAAACACATGTATTAATTTAATCCTGCCAACAACACTTTGAGGTCAATATGATTATCATCCACCGTTTCACTGATGAGTAAACTTAAGTACAGATAGATTATGTAACGCGCCTGAAACTGAGGTTAACAACTAGTGAGCGGGGTGGTAGGTGACGAGAGTGGGGCGACCTGTGATCCAAATCTACGCAGCTTGTGCCTACCTCTACTCAGTATTAATAAACTAGTCGGTGAATGAATAAACGAAGTAACAGTATCATAGAAGGAACCTACGAATAGGACTTCCTAAGAAAGCGCTCCTTCTTTTCACGAATGACAAAAATACTGGTACGTTTAAAAAGAAAATAAAAAATTTTCAGCGCTCCTCGGAGGATCCTCACGCGGGGGAACACGTGGGACCACAAAAGAGAATAACTGACTCACACGTGGTTTGGACCACGTGGTGAGGCTCTCCGGGGCTCCATACTCTAACCTGCCAACTACCTACCTAAGCCTTTATGGAACGTGCTAAGCAAACCCAACCCTGGGTCTCTGTCCCGGCGCAGAAACAGCAAGGGACTCTACAGCCGGGAGAGATTCCTACGAACCCCCACCCCAGCATGCACCAGAGACCCCTGCGACCACGTCTCCTGGCGAGCCCCCGGCGAGCGCGTGCGCCCCATCGCCCGGAAGTGTCGCCTGCACGTTGCATGCTGGGAGTTGTAGGCTCTCGGTCCGGGTTCGCGGGCCGTAGTCCGCACTCTCCATGAGGCTGCTGGCTTTGGTCCGCGCGGCTCCGACGCGGGGAGCGCGCTTCGCGCTGACTCAGCGGCGACGGCGGCAGCAGCATTAGCTGGCCCTCGCGCTCT